TAGATACTTGGCTAAGCATTGTGGTTGAAGTCAGCCCCTGAGACAGCAACCCTGATGCACTTCCAGGAGCGATGAAACCGCTGCTCAGACGGCTTCACTCAATTTTTTATAATCAAAGATATCTTTCAAGGCAATAAATAAGTATCTAACATCAGAAATTAAAGTCCAACAAACAAAAAGACCAAAAAAACCCATGCTCACAAGAAGAGTTTGAAAATATTTCTGAACTCTCATTTCAAAAATGACAAGAGCTAATTGTTTCTTTGGTCATGTTGCTTGTATCCTGAATGTTAAAAGGAGTTAACAGAAAAAGGTATCAATTTGTCACAACAGTGCTAATTAATGTTTTACATTTTTTTTCTCTCTTTTAATAGACAATTTGCTGTAGTGAGTGTATCAGGGGTAAGTGAGAATGGGGCTGCAATAGTATTTTTCTCAAATTTCTTAAGTGCTTAATCTACTCTAAGTATTCACCTACTGCAGGGAACCTGCTTCAGCTAGGGAGTTGGAATTGAACTCCGACTGCTACTGTTTTGTGGTTCTAAGATTCATGCTGCATGAAGATTCAAATGAAAAAATGTCTCTTTTTGCAAATTGAAGAACAAGGTATTTTTTAGTATTGGGAAAATGTTTATTCCGCTCAAGCTGTGGTGTACTATAAAAAAAGGTCCAGCTGACTAAAAAATTACCACCTGCACTGAATTTTTCATAATTGTACTCGGTATATGCTATTGGTATTGAAACATTAGTCAATCTGTTCTCTACTTCTGTGCTTAAAACAATATAAAATAAAATATTTGTCTGACTTGATTCAGACACCTTCTAGGCAAGCAACATAGAAACTTATAAACTGTTTCACATTGGCACAAAAACATCGATCCGTCTTTGTACTTACGCAAGTCCTGCTCTTTCCTGTTTTTATAATTTGTTCTCAAGCAATATTTCAACTGGAGCAAAAGTAAGTTACATCTCACAGTTACAAATGTGATGTTGTTTTTTGGTGGTTTGGGGTTGTTGTCCTAAGCAATAATTGTCCTGAGGAAAGGATGTTCAGGTGGATGAGGCTGTGGGGCAAGAACACTGCAATGTGCCTAAAAAAAAAATAAATTGCTCGCATTTGCAGTATTTTAGATTTGCAGTGTGGTGGTTTAGGTCACAAGAGGGCTTTATGCTATAGGAAAAATAATGTAATTGGGATCGATACATCAAGGTTTGAGACCCCCTGCTTAAAAATTTCAGATTATTTCATCAAAGAAAGAACAACTCAGTTGCTGGGACATGTGAATCCCCACTTTGAAGGACAAAGGAGAAAAACTTCATGTTTCAAAAGGACCTGCAATTTGTGGGAAATTGCGGTGGACTGTATTTGCTTCAGATCATTTTGGTTCTCCCTGCCAGGTAAGGAATTTATAATTAATGGGAAGGCAAGTTGTTTAATAGCTTAAGCCATCATACAAACAGGAGGAGGATATGAACTGTATAAGAAGCAAATGTGCAAAGCTGGAACCTCAAGTGGAGAAAAGGAAGTAATGTAAGCGGATAATTTGACTGTCAGAGGGGGTTAAAATTAATCCCTTGATTTTCTCTGATATCAGGGATTCTGGGCTATGTAGAGCATAGTTTGCAGGTTTGCAGTCATAATCTAAGTAATCTAAGTAGAAGTAGCAGAATGGGGGGAAAGGGCAAAGTATGGCGATGCTCTTAACTGAAAGGGAGGGCAGAAGGTTATATGTTTCATGATACAGTGAGGCTGGGATAACTGAGAAGAATTTGCTTGCAGGAAGGTATGAGAACCGCTGCTGTTTGCACTCTGACCTTCCATTGTCCCTTGCACAGCATTCAAAAGAACTGTGCCGTTCCCTTGGTCTAGTTAAGAGAAAGAAACTGTGTCAAATCTCTCCGTTCCCTAGCTAGCTGTCTTTCAGATCACATCTATATTATATTATAGCAAGATGGTATGGTATAAGATGTACATTAATTAATACTGTGTTGAACATTAACCTGTATGGATAAGGACAATTGCATCTGCTGTAACATAACCCTAAGCAACTCACAACACTTCAGACATAACAGCTCGTGTACACAGTCATTCTTAAGTAACTTTTAACACAGTTATTCAGAATGATTAATGATTCTTTGTCAATAAATAAGGCCTCGGAGTGTGTGTTTGTCATTGTTTCCATATAGTACAATACAGATGGCTGCTCAAGTGATTTTTGTAAGAGGTGGTGGCTTTCCTCTGAAAAGCATTTATGTTTGGGATCCGTGATGTCCACTGATGTAGGTTCTTGTAAGAGCTCTGATATTTAGAGAAAATATAAAATGTACTTTAATTGCTGAAGTTAATTTTAACTAAACCTTTGAACTATCTAAGCACTCTGATGAAGTAGGCATTAGATTACAGTTCTGTTGTTATGGTTTTGAACTGTGCATTACAATAAGAAAAACAAAAACAGCTCAAGAAAGGCAAAATTTGAGCATAAAAACCTCCATGTTTCTTGGTTTTCTTTGCACAATGTTATTATGCTTCTTCTGTGCTTTACAGAACAGTATGGATACTGAGGTTGCAGAAGTCAGCTATGTTGAGAGGTAGAAGATAGCTGTTTTGCAGCCCAGCACAATATTGCTGTTCACTTTAGGTCTATCTTTCTGCATATGGATGATCCTGGGTACCCACTTGCTGCATGGGAGATTAGTGCCTCTGCCTCTTTACAGGACGAGATGTTTGTTCTGCACTACACTCAGGCTAAGAATATTTACCAAAGCAGTATGTATGTAGAGGTGATAGGAGACTCATTAAACTGGTGAACACATTTATCAGAGGAACAGATGTAAATACATTTGGTAACTTTAAGTTATGCAAACTTGCATTCTACTGACTCTACAGTCAAATGTACTGATTATTTTTCTTAAGCAGGTCATGCACTGTGCTAGTGACTGCTCAAAAGTAAATATCACCAACAGCAGCGCAGAAAAAAGTGTTGGACAGACATGAGTAGTATGTACTATATTTCAAATACAAGTCATTAGTCATTAACAGGACTCCAGCTGTTCATGCTAGCATTTACATGTCCATGATGAGGAAATGAAAATCACAGTTGTCTTTAAGCAAAATGTTTGTGTTGTTAGTTCCTTGCAGGTCCTGTTCTTTCAGCTGATTATGGACCTCAGTCTACTACTCAAGTTTATTGAACTTCACAAGGTTCTCTCCTCGTATTCCCAAGTCCACCTTTATTTCATATTTACTGTAATGGAAAGAGTGAGCTTGGACATGGAGGTATTCTGAAGAAAATTCTGTTGTTGCTTTTCTGTTTTCTTTGTTCCTTTTTTCTTTCCTCAGAAAGAAATCTGCTTCACTGCTGGTCAGTTGGCAGAAGAAGAATCCAAGAACTACTGTAGAATGAGGAAACTGGGAAGAACTGACCAATTCCTGTCACTGCAGAGGTTTTTTGCTCTCAGTATTAACAAGAGATAAACAGGTATTTATTACTGGAAAAAAAATAATCTAAAATTATAAATACCAGCAGCAGCCTATCTCCAACAGATGCAACTCAGTGCCAGTTTTTTGTCCCTTAGGAAAGTTATTTCTGCATATTGTGGGAGTGCCTCATGAAGTAATGAAGCTATTGTAAATATATATGCCTAAATATGGATCTGAATTAAGAAGTGATTGAATAAGTTGTTTTTTCTACATCAATAATGTAAAACATTTTTTATTGGCTGCTTTCTGTTTGTTCTCTGTATAAGAGAAGAAAAGCCAACATCCCAAGAGCAAACAAAAACCTATAGAGAAAGCTAGCCATGTTCAGTGCTGAAAACTAAGTTGCGGGCACTAAAAAGAAATAAATAATGAAGGTTTCCACAGCAACCTAAGTTCTGTTAGTGCAAATTGATGACTTTCATTCTGTTTTATTACATAATGATAGAACAGATACTCTATAAAAAGTGCTGGGTGCATTCGAAGTTGGATTATTCAAATGTTTCGTGCGCTCTTAAGACCTGACATCAGCTAATTTAGTTCCGGAGGTTTTGGAAAACGCTGTGTGGAGGGTGTTGTTTTCTTCCTGTGGCCAACCCTGTGTGCTGAAGCCGTGTGTTTGGGTTGAAGATCTTACTGGTAACTGCTCAGGAGGTGTAATCCTGGTTTGGTTTCTGCTCCTCACAGTGATCTAGGAGGTGATCCAGAAGAGCAGCGGGAGCGCAGCACAGCTCGCTGCCCTTCAGTCAGCAGGGCCTGGGGTGAGCACGGCCCCTGCGTCCGTGCGCCAGAGCAGAATGTGGATTTTGCGGTGTGTTAACCAGTTCCTTGTGAGCAGCCGTGAGATCCAGGCTGTGGCCCCTAGGGTAGAGATTGGCGTTCCGTGTTCTTTAAAAGAACTTTAGCTTGTAGGTAGGTTTTAGCGCTGGTTTTCACTCGAGATCGACCCAGCGGGACGCCGACCCGCCAGGCCCCGCGCTGAGGAGGCGCGGCCCGGCTCTGTCAGCACCGCCCCCGCGCCTCGCGCCTCGTGCGGCCGCGCGGGAGCGGAGGGGCGGGAAAGGGCGGGCGGTGCGGCGCGAGCCGCGCATGCGCGCGGCTCTCCATCGGCGGGGGGGGCGCGGTAGCGCGAGTCCTTCGGGAGCGGCGGCGGCGGCGGCGACGACGACGACGACGACGACGGCGGTGACAGGAACGGCGGGGCTCGGGGCCGCGGAGCTTGGCGGGGCCGCGCTGGAAGAGCTGCCGGGCCGGCGGCGAGCGCTGAGGTGAAGCGCGGCCGCAGCCGTCTGCGCGCGGGCGGGCGGGAGGGGGGCGACCCCCCCCCCCCCCCCCCCCCCAGCCCCTCTCGGATCCCCCAGACCGGGACCCGCCGGGCGCGGGCAGCCTGAGGCGAGGGCCGCGCTGCGGCGGCCGCGGAGCTGCGCCCCCGCTGAGGGAGGAGGAGGAGCGGCAGCCGCCCCCGTTCCATGAGCGGCGCTCGCCCGCCCCGCTCTGCCCAGGGGACCCGCGGCCGGCGGCCGCCGCAGCGCCAGCAGCATGTGGAGCCCGACCGAGGAGGAGAAATACGGCGTGGGTAGGTGCCGCCGACACCCCACACCTGCCCCCGTCCCCCTTGCGCTGCCCTGCCATCCCCCGGCACCGCCTGCCGCCGTGCCCGGCCTCGGGGCGCCGTCTGCTCCGGGGCCCGATGGCGCCCGCCGGCAGAGAACGCGTCGCTCAGCCCTTCGTCCCCCGAACGCGCCGTTCCCTTTCCTCCGCGCCTTCATCCGCCGCCGTGCTGTTTATGTGGGGCTGGGCTCCGCGGCCGTGGCGTTAGGGGGCGGCAGCGGCGCACCTGCGGCGGGAGCGGGCCGGGGGCTCGGGGCGGGAGATGATGGGCAGGTGATGAGGAGATGGAGACACGGGGACGGCCGCGTTCCGCTGCTGCCGCCGCTCGTAGCGCTCTGCCGGGGCTACGCGCCGATTCCTGAGAGCACCGCCGGTGGCTTTGGTGTTTTTTTTTTTTTTTTTTTAATTGCTAGGGTCGCGAATGCGGTGCGAGGTTTCTGGTAGGCGTGGAAGTGCGGTGCATCGCCAAAGGAAAACGCCCACTTCGTTGATCTTCGTTTTTATTTTGCTTTAGCATGTGTTTTGAAATGGGTTGCGAGATATTTGCTGTATAATAACAATAAAAGTAGGCAGCGTGTGCCTGGTTGGCTTCTGAAACACCTCATTATACTTAGCAATGGTCCATATAGGGTTTTTTAAGTTCCGCCGTGGGTCGTTGGTTTCTGCAAATATGAAAAATACCCTCTGCCTTGCTACAAAGATCCAACCCGTGCTGCTGATGTGGGCTTTGGATGGCCGGCACACACACAGTTAGAAGTCGCAGTGCTGGTGATGCTTAAAGCAAATTCTGAAGGTGCCAGCAGGCAGCAAGAATGCACCGGAATGCTTTAGGTTAGGGTAGCACCCTGTGCAGCATGGATTTGGCTTGGTGTGCCACCCGGCTTCTGTAATATACAGATGATTTCAGAATTTTTGTTTAGAAAAAAACAAACAAACAAACAAAAAAACCCGAGCAATCGAGTGTGGTGTGTGTTAGATGAGAAGCTGTGGGGCAGTATGTAATCACCAGGATTATGTAAAAATTAACAAATTGCATTGCGCTTTGTGTGGCTGTTTGGAGGATGCAAAGTATCTGAAACTTGCTCATATGTGAAGCCCTGGTGCAAAGCCAGCCCTCTTGTCCTGGTGCTAAACTTGCAGGTGTTGTTGCAGTGTATGCTTCATCTTTCATGTCGTGTTGGTTTTCCTCCTTTATGTGGTCGTTTTTCCTAGCTGTGAGATGCTGGCACGGTGGGTTTGGGACTCAGAGGTTTGAGCTGTGCTTGGCCAGTGAGGATGGGTGGGAAATGCCACTCGTGTGGGGAGTTTTGTGCCACAGGTGAGAGCGGTGCTGGGGCCGCACAGGGAGCTCTGTTAGCCCTCACGAGTCGGTTGTGCTGTGCTGCAGAACGTGTAGGTGTCATTTTGTTGGGAGATGCGTTGCCAAAAACATAAAAGGGAAACAAAGTAGATTCTGATATCTTGAAATCTTGCTAATTTAAGTTATTCCTGCTTCACAAACAAAAGAGTGTGTGGTAAAGGAATTTTCTTCGTACAAGTTACTGGTGTAAGCTTATCTCTTGGGCTTTATTAATTTGTTTTTATTCAGCACTGTCCATCCCAAGAAACCCGGTGAGCTTTTTCCCATGTACTCCTCAAGCTCTGATATGTTTCTGATGTGCCTTTGCACTAGGGCAGTGTGTGTCACATCCCTGTTGGGGGGGGAGTATGTGTCCTACTCCTGCAACACAAAGCGCGGCTCTCTGGTGAAATACAGCGGTGTCCCTGGGCAGGCTTGGCTGCCTGCTCTGTGCTTTGGGCACAGCAACTCTGTGCCGTGATGTAGATAATTTGGATGCAGTTCTCTTTATTGAAAGTAACTCTTGCTTTGTGCATTCCTCTCGTTTCACCCTGGGTGACAAATGATGAAATGCATCGACAGTCCATGAAACTGCAGCATTACCCCTTTAACTTCCAATGCTCTGCATGGTCTTATGATGTGAAATACCGATGGGAAAGCCACGAGTCCGTAACATTTATGTAGACTTTTTTCAGGAAGATGCCACGTTTCCCCTCTCAACATGTTGATACAGAAGGGTTTTGTATTCTGCGGTGGCATTCAAAGAGTTTCAGAAGACATTTGTCACATGCTTGCTGGCACCCTTCATAGCGACGCCGACTCGTTACTGCATGAGAATTCATTAAAGTTATTGATGGAACATCAGCAGCTTTCTGGAGTTCCGAAGTTCTTGTGCCTTCAGCTGCAGCTGAGGAAGTCTTGGATGCCTGCAGCTCAGTGCAGCACTGCCTGGCTTGCACACAACTCCTCGCATGCTTTTGCAGCAAAGTTGCTCAAAAATCGCTTGGGATATTCAAAATAAAGAGGTGGAAAAACGGCACTGACGCAGCTGAAGTTCTTCCTCTCTGCTACTGCCTGTAGTCTGCTGCGACTTTCCCTTCAGCTCTTTGTAGCAGTGCTTGTAAGCAGTGCCTGTGCTCCCAGCTTGCATTGGGAACACACATCCGGGGGTTGGCAGCACTCTCCTGTGGGCACTGCTGGGCACAGTCCTTGTACACAGTGCTGCTCAGCACTCCGAGTGGGTTATTGCAGATAACAAACTCTCCAGCCCCCTAGTGTTCGTGTGGTTCTAAAGCAGCCTCTCAAAGCACTAAGCTTCTAAAGCAAATATTCTGTAATAACAATGAATTAAAAGAAAAAGCTAAGCAGGTGAAAGAGATCCCTCTAATAAATAACTGCTATTTAAAGTTTAGCAAATGCTTGTGAGCTGATTAATTAAATTAAGCTGCAAATTTTTGCTGCTTTATATTTGCAAGGAGCACGTTTAGGTGATGATCAAAAACAAGCCCAAACCAAAGATATATGTAGTTGATCCTGTACTTTGTGGCTGGCCATGCTAAACGTGTGGATGCTAAATCACAGGGAAGCAGGAAAACCTGCCTGCATGAACAGCAACTGCTGTTGTTTTGTTCAGAGTTACTGGCTTAAAATCTGTCGATTGCTTTGTTTGCACAAAGTGAGTTTTGTGTATTTATTTTCATTATTTAATTGGTGAGAATAAGAAGTAAGTCTTTAAGCATGAATGCACAAAACAAATGCTTCCCTTGCTGCTAAGAAAGGCTGGAGCATCTCAGTGTCCTAGTTACAGTTCTGTACTGCAGCTTCTGCTTTTTGATTGGTATCTTCATTTTTTTCCCCTGCTGCTATTTGTTGGTTTGCACATCTTGCGACTCATAGAAACGTATGGAAAAGCAAGACTGTAAAACTTAGAAAAGGTCTGCCTTGCCCCCGTGGAGCTCCTGTCATCATGCTCAGTTCTCACCCCCTCACGTGTTAGGCAGTGGGTAGGTGAAGGAGTGCTTTGAGGTGATTGACGTTGCAGCTTCCCTGCATTGCTGAAGCAGTTTATTACATGTTTAAAATGAAAGGTTTCAGAGAGATGGAGAAAAGCCTCTCCAAAATTGGGTAGTTTTCCATGTTTGGTGGAGGGGATCTGGTTGGCCTGGTCTGCTGGGTCAGCCAGCCCATGGTAGGGAGAGGGCTGGGAGGTCCCTTCCAACCCGAGCTGCTCTGTGGTTCTGTGAGTTGACGAGTTGGGAAGCAATATCAGTCACTGCAGCTGGGTTCTGAGTTGTGGGATGTAGATTGTATTTCATCTTTTCTTTACCTTGCTGCCAGCAGCTGTAACAGTCTGGCAGCAGCAGGGACGTGACTAAGGATATTCTTCAGTGATGTGCTTTGGGACCGAAGCCATACAGAGGGATATGCTCATAAACCTCAGAGTAACAGTTATCTGGGAGATGGTGGTAGTAGCTGTGGACTTGCTGATTTGTCTGGAAAACTGGGTGGTCGGTGCGCTGAGTAGTACTGAGTTCCATTATGTTGCCCTGAAGAACGGTTTTTCTTTGTGAACCTGAGAATGAGCAAATGAATTCATCGGTCAGGGGTTATGGAAGAAGTACATAAATGTTATTTGACCAAATGAGAAATGAATCACCCCTTGAAATGCCTCTGGAAAAGAACAGCTCCTGAGGTGTGTGACAGCAGAGACTTCCAGTATAGACAGGAAAGCCTAGCGAGGCTTCATTTAATGGAGCAAGCAGTGCGGTTGCAGTTTGGTACGTCTGTACTTCTGTTACTGAGATAACCTCGGATTGAATATGCTGTTTTGTGGGAAGAGATGAATGTGTCTTGGCTCATTTACCTTAGAAAACAGCAACCAGATGACAGCATAGCTATTTGTGTGAAAAACTGGTCTGCAGAGCTGGATGAGAAGTGACCTAATACTAGTTTGCGATCATCTAAATGCTAGCTGCCCACATTATGCTAGAAGCTTGCCAAGCTTTTCTAGCTACAGGAGAAATAAGGTTGAAAGGAAGGTTTTCAGATAGTGTGTGAAAGCAAGGGATTGGGCACTTATTTTTGCAGTTTATTGTGTGGTTTGTGTGGAATGTTGTGTGCTGCTGCTGTAAGGAGTTGGAGTGTTGCAGTATGGGTTCTAACTTTTGTTGCTTTGATGTTTCTCAGAGTGCTTTGCTCATAGTTACGCTGTGGGGTGTGTTTGGCCAACGCCCTCAGGACTTCTGCTGTTTGCTGGTGGGATGGAAGAAAATAATCAGGCTCGCTTCCTAAGGATGGCAGTCCTCAGGTGTACGAGCTATCTGTCCCCACCTACCAGTATCTCTCCACCAGTGGTGAGCAACGTTTTATGGTGGGAGTTGGCAGTCTCAGACATACGCTTCCTACAGATGTTATGAAAGTTGCTGATGGGATGGGAAAGGAAGAATTTTCTAGTGATTTGCAATACGAGAGCGAATAAGTAGCTGCTGACTTGCTGAGAAGAATAGATAACAAAGTTCTCTCAAGAGTTTTTCTAGTCCAACTTGTTTGTTTTCTGGAGGACATGGAGGGGAGCTATTAGTGCGAGTGTGGAGTGACCAGGAGGCACTTTGTGGGCAGGAATGGGG